CCCCCCACCCTCCAATCACCATCACTTCATAAAACGCTGCGGCAGGTTCAGGCCATGGCTTCGTGTCCCCGTCCTAGAACACGTGACTCACGTGGCGTCGTCAATTTTAGCCTGGCTCAGAGGACTGGGAATATATTGAACCTCATGGGCACGTACTTACCCTTATTTTGGTTCACACTAACTTACTTGCTAACTGCTAACAAAGACATAGTACGAGTCAAAATATTCCAGCTAAAAACAGCAAAATTTGAACAAATTTGAAGCAAAAATCATCTAATTTAAATGCAGAATTTTTCCAAATAATGTTAATATAGTTTAGTCGTACATTTCTTGTAGTTTACAAGTTGAATTAATCCCATTTTGAATATTTGGTTGTTTACAGAAGGGCATTTGTTTTTTGCAGTTTTTCCTCTAGTGAAGTCAGTGACAAAAATGAAGAAAATCCTCAGTTTCTCCCTAAACGTGAACTTTTTGTTTTTTAAAGTGGACGAGGAAGTCTTTAAGTCCCTCTGAGGAGGTGATCAGTCAGACTAAGAAGGAAGTGAAGAAGAAACAACACTTAAACGAAGAGGATTGTTTTCCAAGACGCTGTTGCTGCAGCTGGACCGCTGACCGGCTAATCGGCGTACAATGCAAACAGATGTCAATGCTGCACATCCTATTCAAATTTCCGAACAATTAAGATCTTAAAAAAAAAAAAAAAAGGGAAAAAGATCAACAATTTTGTTCTCATTAATCCCCATTTCAATGCTTTTCTCCTCATCCCACAGCAAAGCTCTGTGTATTAGTGTTGTGGTAAGAAGGATATGGACTCCTTATCCGGTGTTTGCCCAAGAAAATCGGCTAAGACTCAGGCAACACCGCGATTAGCTAATGCTAACAATGGGCCAACGTTTCCTTAGCGTCTCTTCCTTTTCTGCGCCGAAGTGGGTGTAGAGTAAACACAGTCTTAGGACCGTAGACGAGAGCGGAGTTGTTTGGGGGGGGGGACAAACACGTCTGGGTGAATAGTGAGATTAAGCCGGAGCGTAGACCCCTGATGATCACAACAACTCACCTCCCCCTCCGTTACTCCTCTTCCTGTTGTTCAACTCCCACAATCCCCGCAGCTTCGCCGCCATTCTTGAAACACGGCGGCCAGGTGCGGGGAGGCTGCAGGTGCCATCGCATTTAGGCACATTAAGCACTGACACACAGCAGCGCCAAGAGTAATCGGATTTACCTGGCTGTCTGCTGCATGGCGCGCTGCACTGTGCAAGCGCAGCACAAAGACCGAGGGCCCCCTCTCCATCACGGACGCAGACACACACACGCACACACACCTGGGATGAATTTAGGAGGTGACAAAGCCCTCATAGAGAGGAACTGCCGCCGCCGCCGCCGCCGCTGGACCAAGGTGTGTGTGAAAATGAAGTGTGCGTGCTGGAAACAGAAACCAGAACAGGAGCCAGTGGCTCTTTACAGCTCGCGGCGCAGGGGTGGCGACAGATGCCGCAGGCCCCGCGGTTCAAAGCAGCCGAGGGAGGAAGGGAACGAGGGGGAAGCAGAGGGTTTTAGGGGAGCCCTCTTGTGCTGCTGACCTTCAGACCGCTGGAGCTCAGGGGGATTGAGCTCCGGTACTGGGTTCAATCAGACAAAATGGGACCGCCGCCTTAGGGGACACGGACATGTCCTCAACACCTGGGGCCAGGAGGAAGTGTTTTCACAGCAGTGGTCTTATCAGAGATCACAGGTTCCACTGGGCGGAGTCAAGACCCGAGGACCAACGGAGACAAACGATCCATCATCGTTCTGTGTTTAATTTATTACGTTCACTGATCGAAAACAACCAGATCTTTGAATATAGTATTACTTCAAGTAAAAAAAAATACAAAAGAAAAGCTAAGTTAAGTTCTAGTTTTGTAACTAGGTTGCAATTAATTTTGCAATATTAATATTAATTAATATTGAGTCATCAATTAGACTTTTTAAATTCTATCTATTAACTTCAGTTTAGTGATTCATGAGATGAATTTTTTCTGCCGTTTTCAAGTGTTTGTTAGTATTTATTTTCTGTCTTTAAAGACAGTTTCAACCACTTAGTTTTTAACTAAGGTTAAACTGTAATGCAATTATTTTTTTAATTGGTTGAAAATCTGGGAGGACCAATTATAGTTAATTTGATTACCTGGGAATGTGGACGATTCATTTTATCTTTAATTTCACAGACTCACATAAGGAAAAGTCAACAACACCATAAATATTAGCTAATAACGTACCCATGCTGAGGTTTTGGTTTTTGAATTTGGGTGAGGGTGAGTTTTTCCTCCCCCGTCTGCTCCACTCCTCCCTGCTTCCTGAGCCTCCTGAGCTCCGGCGCACAAAGAAATCCTCTCCATGCTCTACAGCCTTTTTGACTTTTCTTCTGCAGCTTTTGAACTCTCTATTTCAGACCCTGACCCCCCCGAGCCCCACTGTGACCCCTCCAACCCCCGAAAGCTTCACTGGTCTGGAACCAGCAGCTACTCCTCACACACACACACACACAGATGAAATGAGAAGTGGCAGTGTTGCTGAGTTAGGTCAGGATGTAATGGGCAGTAATGCCTTGCCCCTGAGCGCCCTGTCCACAACACAATTGCCTGACTTTAAGTAACCTCCCCCTTTAAGGAGGCACCTTGGTGACTCCCAGGCACCCGGGGAGCAGGACTTAATGAAGTGGCCCAATAAATGGAGTTACAGTAGAGCGTCGGGCTCCGCTGGACTTCTCATTAAAGCCACTGGATTAAAATTACTCCGTAACTCTCTCTGTCCGTCACAATTCAGGGCCGGAGTGAAGAAAGTAAACAAGCTATCACATCAAATCCAGGCCATGCCCCCCCGTCTCTCCCCCATCAGTCTCTCGCTACTCAACCCTCTATCTCCTGTTCTGCTTTTACACATACACAAATCTACACTTCTCTCTCTGTTGCCCTTTTTTTCTCACCCCCAAATTATCGTCAGGATCTTGTTCAAGCCAGAGCTCTCTCTTCACCTCAATCTCTCAAGCTTCATCTCCATTACACCCCC